CTCTTCATCTTGCATTATACTAATACCGTGCATCCATTATCTCAAAGTAGAATTATGCTAATGCCATTCTCATAACACATGCTAAATACTGTGTGGTCAGATTTCTGTCTCAATAATAGGTTTTATATTAATGGATTATAAGTATGGGTATGCTATTATGTTTACAATTAGGATGTGATTACCCATACTGTTAAGCTAAATATATGATATATCCACATATAAGAAATTACATGTTATTATAAAGAGAGAAAATTGGAAAAGCATGTGAAAATAAAATTATGTTTTGTTGTCAAGCTTTCTCTGGGTGATACTAAGAATATATTAATAATGGGGAGTTTATATTGTTATTAACTATTTTGCATACCTACATATTTATAAAACAATAAGGGGTTATTGTAATATTAATTCCAGCATTTATATTTCCCATTCTCTCTTTCATTTGTTTTGTTCCATGTAGATAAAAGTTCATGGAAGAAAAAGAAATCTAGTAATATAAAAACGCTAGAATCCAAACCAGGTGTGGTTACATTGCACTATAACATCATCTCATAGAATAATGCTAACTATCTAATATTATGTTTATTAATTTTTGTCCATGTTGCTATGTCATTCACCTTGCTTTTATCTTTAAAATTGCAAACTTATTAGTCGAGTAAGTGGTTCTGTAGATTTTCATGTTTTTATTTGATTTCTCATTGTGTAATTATTACATCCATTGCATACCTGATTATCTTTAACCATTCACAGAGTAAATACAAGTAACGTATATCTATTTTTGTGCAAGTAAACTGAAATATTGAACTGATTATTGATTTTGTGCACATGTTGTACATTATATATCCTACATGAAAGATTTACCAATATTTTCATCCATACCATATTAGGTCTTGCTAATTACCATATTAGCAGTTTGGATGTCTGTGGTTTCCTATTGTTATATTTTGATTTTGTGCGGTATTCAATATCTTTTGATGCCATGTTTATTTTTTTTACCCCAAGTTGTTTTTCAATCGCAACTCTGAATCCAGAGATAACATATTTGTTTTCTGCAACCTTGCCAGTGTTGGTTATTTTGTAGTAACTTGTGTAATCATGGTCTGGTCTGTTCTGATGCTTTGCACATATGATGAAATGGGTTTTTCGTGGCTAATACCAAAGATAATGTGTGGTATTGCTTGAAGAAATATTTGTCCCATGCTATGAATTCAGAACAATATAAATTCATACTGTTTCTTTCAATACCACATGTCATAACCAGTGTTAGTTACAAATAACCTCTAAGTATGAAAGCTAATGTATTTATTTGACCAAAGACTGATGTTTCATTGTACACATTATTATTTGACTGATTTCTCATTCATTTGTTAATCTTCACTACAGGTGTTTACACAAGATATAAACCGTTTTTGAACAAGGATAAAACAGTACTTAAAAGACTGCAAAAGGTAATTCATATTTTAAAGGGTTTATAAACATTTGCTAGGTTTAGTTATACCAAAGCACTTTTGGAGAAAATATTTTAGTTTATTCAGTAAGAATGATTTATATTGTTATATAATTTTTTCACTATGAAAGATTTCCATACAAGGACTGAGGGGTGAAATAATTGCAAAGGTAAGTAATTGTCGGGTCCAATGTAACAAACAGGTGATGGGCTAGTTGGAAAACTAAAAACAACAGATCTGGATACAAAGTTATAAAGTTATATTCCACTTGTAATGCAGTACTTTGCATTATTTAAACTACATTCTGTTTGATGAGTTGATTGCAGCTGACCTGACGTTGACTGGAGAAGGAGTGAATATACCTGAATATATGTAGTTGTCAATTAGCGGGTGTAAACAGTCCTTTGGACATCACTTCAAGAAATAGTGAAATTTATAAAATAATGATAACAAAACTTTAATTCAGGCAGCAGCTAGAGACAATATGAAATAACGTCTTGTTATAACCAGGGGACCACACAAATGTCATTTGATAAATGTATACAATATAGCATATTTGTCACTTAACTGGAATTTTTAACAATAAACTTTATTTTGGTTAAAAATCAACTAAATATATAATTTACAATGCTATTACACATTGCATTACCACAGCTATCTTTAGGTTTAACATTAAAATGGTTACATATGCATGTAGGTAGTTGAATGTATAAACTAAACAAGTAGTGGAGAGTTAGTGGGTGTCTTGGGTGATCATACTTTGGTAGTACGATATAAATAATCTTGTAACTGGTTTAATGTTGCCGAATGTTGTTTATATTATCTGGTATTAAGGTTGAATCATCTAGACACATTTGTAAAGAATGTCAACATCGTAAATAGGGAAGAGCATAACCTCTTCTCAATGTTTACATTTCACACAAAATATACAGTATATATCTTGCAGTGAAATTAATAGAATTTAGCTGTTTGTAAAAAACTGTATGGATGTGTCATATTTAGAAAGTGTGCATCATATTTGCATAACATTCAAACATTATGCTTATTCTGTAACTAAATAAATGTTTTTTGTTTTAATATCAGGGTATACAGAATAAGAGGCCTGTTGAAGTACAAGACGCCATGTTGAAACGTCATTTTCTAGAATTAACACAGAGTTTTATGATTCCACTTGAGAGATATGTTGCTAGTCTTATGCCATTACAAAGAAATATATCTCCATGGAAGGTAAAGATAGAATTCTAATTGTTACCACAACATCTCTTCTATAATGTAATATGTACCACTGTAATAGTGAGTTTATATTGTATTCACCTTATTTCTGATGTCTTATTTAGCAACCACCAAGGCTAAAACCATTTCTACCTGAAGAATTTATTAAGACACTAGAACATTCAGGTCCTCAACTGACATCAGGTCTCACAGGTGATTGGATTGGTCTATACAGGTAAGTTCATACTCAGTTTTATAATAAGTAGAAAAAATATAGTTAAAGATGAACTTGATTGGTTTGTGTAGCCTTACGTTTTTGTATAAAAAATGGAAAACATACTTTTGTAAGACATACCCTGGTGACAAAATGCAAGTATGAATATTCAGCATAAGAAAAAACGTTAAATGAGCTCAAGAATGGCTTGTTATAAAATCACCACTCTTCTCTTCTGGTGCGCACATGGACTGTAAAGTTTCACCGAGGGAATACTCCTAGGAAATAGAAACTTGTCTATTACTAAATTATTTTTTTCCAATTGAACATCAGCCACCTATAAGAATTAGCCCTTCATTGTAGTTGTCTGGCTTAAAAAACTGAATTACTTCATTATATAATACTACTAGATCTACCGTAGTACATTTGTGCATTTCATTGTGTGATTCTACAGTATGCAACATTATTGCAAGTTTCATATTTCTGATGTGAAAACTGTTTTTTTCCATTTCGTAGGAGGTTTTTCAAGTCCTCAAATTTTGAAGCTTGGTTGAGAAGCCGACAACAGGAAGTAAATCAGAAGTTGTCCATATTACATCTTGATGCTTTATGCGATGCTGATCTAATGCAATGGATTAAAGATAAACAAGAAGTGGAAATTGTTGATCTTATTTTAAGACTCAGGGACAAGTTGGTAAGTTATTTATAGCGTACTTAATTTTCATTCAATTGATATTTGGCGTTACAATACTGAAGTGTCAAAACTAATATCATAGGTCAGAGAATTGAAGGTAATTCAGCTTAAATAGTTTTATGATTTAATGCTGATAATTTATTCATTGAACACATCACCACTGTCACTGTTATATACTGTAAAATGACAAATTTTCACTGGGTTTAAATTTCGCTGATTTACCATTTCAAGCATATTCAGTGGGATTTTAAATTCACGGTTTTATCATTTAGATAATGTGTTCATGACAAAATTTACATATTCGCTGGGTTTTAATTTAGCGCATTTTCCAGTCAGCGAAATAAGCAAAATTAAAACCCAGTGAATAATTAACCCCTTTACAGTAATTCAATCATGGATATATACATCCATGGTTGGTCTGTGGAGGCTTTCAATAGCTTGTGTGTTAACTAAATTTCTCAAGTTCCTAGCAAGAAATTTCTGGAACTTGTTGCCAACTAGGCTAATCCTAGGCCTCACAGAGAAAATGCTGGTGCCAAAAATAAAACATGTAATAAATTGAATATTCTAATGTCAAAAAGTTAAAATTTTTAAAAATATTCTACTTGCTTTCTATCATGGCTAGTGGCCTTTTGGCTTACCTTATTCATATAGTGCAATGTGCCATTTGGGACGCTCTAAGCAAAAAGTAATCCTACAACAACTGAAATACTGCATTCTGGGTAACTCTGTATTGATCAAAGTAACACACACAAGGCTGCCATGTTTATGAATATAATGGATGATGCTGTAATTCTTTGGATATTTCCTAAAATACCATCAACAGGATATATAAAAGTAGATATAATCAATCTACGTAAGAGCTGTAATAATCCAAGGTTATTATGACGATACCTCAAAGTGTGCATGAAGACAGTACAGGGAAAATATCGACTGTGTTGATGCAACCACGTACTGTCTGTGTGTGTGAGGTATCGTAATGACCTTATTATGATACATCTTTTCCTTCCAAGGATACATCATGGTAATGCCGAAATCCAAAATGTTTAGAACAGAATCAGCGAACTTCTTTGTGTGGAGTCTGGTCAAACCCTAGTGGCAGCCATGTTTGCTTTTATTATTAGAGGACGCTTACGTGCGTAATCATTCCATTTTTGGAATTCGCATTTCCTAATATGGTAGGATGAAGATACCCCGTAAAATACCGCAAAATTACGGCACACTGTAACTTATGGTGTTACGGTGACAGATGTATAATAATATAACATAATAATAATAATAATAATATGATTTATATATTTTAGGCTACTGTATGTGCTCCTGATCTGCCAACCAGACAGGAAAGAATAAACCAACTGAAAATCCATATGGATCACATTATATCCAGCCTACCAGATGATTTACAGTCTATTTTGAAAAGTAATTGACATGATTTTGTTTGAAATTGTATCTGCGATGTATTGCCTGGACAGATGAGAAGCTCTGATAATCTGTGAACGTTTGTGTATATACAAGGACAGAGATACGTCTTAGTGCATCACACACATAGAATACTAAGTATTCACTTATTATATATGTTTGTGTATATTGAACATGACAGGTAACAGTTCGTGATGTGATGCACTTTGAAAGTAACATGGTCAGCATGAAATGAAATGATGAACAGTCATGTGTTGTTGGCTGAGGATAAAGTTGCACTAGTCGTATATCATTGTTGCAACTAATGAGATCATTGGTAATTCTTCCTGGAAATGTCTTCACTAATAATGTCAGAATGTATTATTCAAAATACTGGTCATTATATGTACTAGATTTTACACTGCCAATACTTTATTACCGTAAAAAACTCTATTAATTCACGCACCCAATTTATTCTAAAAATATAATTGTTAAATGTATTTGGTTAATTCACGGTGTTCAAAAAAGGGATTTCAATTAGATCCTTTTTAAACATAGCACAGAAATTGTTATTGTCAAGTGGATTTGCAGTGCTGCAAAACATGGCATCTCTTGTATATGTCACATTTATTAAATTACATTATGATTTCCGTTGACTGTTGCTTAGCCTTCAATGTTTTTTACTAATGCCATAAACACAACTACTGGCATGTGTCAAGAAAAAAATGCTTGTAGATTGTAACGTTGCTCATTCAGCGCAATGTCGTTAAAAGATTGAAAGTTCATTGCTATCATATATGGATCCCATATGAATCACTAAATCAATGTAGCTCTCGTTTTTTAGATTTGATTGAATCAAAAATGATCTCATTATTTCATGCACTAGTAAAAATATGAATTCACATTCTTAATAAATAATTGTTTAATCATCGCGAGAAGTAATAGAGTTTTTGCGATAAAGCCCAGTCACTCAAATTTATACAGTAGGATAACAGTTGTCACTCAATTATATTAAATACCTCAACCAAAGGGAGAGAATTTTGAATATGTTTGAGCTGTTTCATGAGTTATCTGTGTATCAAGATTTCACACTGATGACAGAATAACAGTTTTCTATATACAACGATACATTGTGTGTACTGTGTTCACAGCATTATTTTCATTCAGTAAGTCAAATTGTTTTTAAATGGAACAGGAACAACAGGGTTTCATTTTCTAAAAATAGCATTTTGAGAAATAAAGATTTGTTTTTATTTTTCAAATGCTATAAATTAATATGTCAAGTTTGTACTGTACAGTTTTACCAAGGGTTCACTTTCTGTGCACTCTTTATAAATAATGAAAAATAGTTATAAAAAGTGTATTTAATATTTGGCAATGTAAAGATGCTACTTTTTTTTTTTACATTTCTGACTCTATTATCCCTAGTGTTCAAACTACAATTAAACCAGATATCTCTTTATATAACGAAAGAGCAACTTATCAGGAGTTGTGAATGTGTGACCAAAAACCTCTAGTTTTGAAAAGTTCTAATTGTAATAATTAAACTTAAGTAAATCATTAGTTAATCATTCTTTGCAGTTTTTGTTTAATGAACCAGACAGAATATGACTACAAAGTTACCACTTTTTATTTTATAATAATTAGTGTAAAAAGTTTTCTTTTTAACCACATACTTCTAAGTTATGTAGAATACTGTGATACATCAAATATTACAATGTAAATTACTTCATTTTGCTTTGATCTAATGAATTGTAGACACTTTTTGATATTACATCCTAAACTACTATCCATCTTACCAGTAAAACACTTTATATCACATATCTACCCTAGTGTATTTATAAATGACAATTTTTTATTACATTTAGTGTGACACATTAGTTGTGTTTGTGCACAGCTTTCTTAGTATAAGCTAAGAAATCAAAATAATGTTAGCCCATGCTAAGAAAACATATGTGAAGGCTTGGTACTGGGTAAATCTGACCCGTTTTTAAGACACAGTCTAGACCCTTAGCAAGGGTTAAACAACAGTTAGCATGGACTAAGCACCCAAAACACCTCTGTATTCAATGTCCATTTGGAATATTTATTATGATATTCATAACTTTTCATTTCCTACATGACTATCAACATGAGCACATTGTTCATTGTCATTGTTCTCAGTGGAAAATATGAACTGATGAGACTCTGTACTACTTTTTGTTTTTCTGCAATTTACACTTTCTGAATTTGCTTTGGTATTGTTTTATAACTGTAGAACTGACATGTATATCTTCCTGGTTACAGTACTGAGTAATCATAGTTAAAATTACTGAAAACTTTTGTATATTCTTAACAAGTTTAGGTAGTCCTTAGCCTGTGATAACTGTTGTTCCCTCTTCAGCGTGAATCGGGTCTAGCCGATATGCAAACATATAAGATTAACTTAGCCTGTACTTTGTGTAGTGTGAACATGACTATAGTTACTTGAATTTGAAATGAATCCTACTGCTTACAGTAGTTACATCAGTTCAGTAGGGTTGTGGTGGGTGCATCACAAGCCCATTCTGTGACTAATCACTATAGACCTAATATCCCAGAGATCTACAAGTGATATTTCATTATTATGAATAATATTTGTTTGTGATCTTTGCAGTGCATAAATATCTATTGAAATATCCCTCTAGAGTTATACTCACATACACCTGACTTTAAACCCAAAATATATATCAAAGCCAACCCATTCGTGAACAGGAGACCTATTGAAAACAACACTTTGTGTAAACAATCTTGGCTGCAGGCCAAGTGATGTTCACAATAAACATATCCCATGTCTAGTCTATAATTGTAAACACTGACAATGCAAACAAGTACTTAGACTAATGCATAAAAGTGACAGCTCTCCTCACCACCACACTACTGGCTTGAATGCACACAATCGAATTTGCATAAATATATTTTGATCTGTTGAATGCTTTATTGTATTTAATGTTTCAATGCTTGTCATGTAACATTGAAGGCTAAATTGGCATTGATTGGCAGCCATTTTAAGGCCAAAAATGCCTCAAAATCACCATTTCTGAACACAATCTCTGTTGTGCATGAACGGATTCTGTTCAGACTTGGTACATACATTAAACATAACAACATTCCTAGACCGATCCAGTTAATTAGTGCAACTTTACTGGAATATGTGGTTGCTACAAGACCAAGAGTAGTAAAAGTATATGGCAGCAAGTGTAGATTACATGGGTGTTTGCTGGAAGTTGACAATCCCCCGTGGTGTAGTTTAAAGAAATGCGTGGCCTGAACATAACCAGGAAGTGTAAAAGACAATGTAAATATATTTGTATGACACGTAATCAATATAGAATGTTGCAAATGTGATTCTGCAAATCTTGTGTGATATATATCTTTTATCAACAATTTTGTCTTGGTGCTTTTTCTGTACTGTTTTATCAAAATGTACACAATATTACTGTCATCTTTTATCTCATTTTAACAAATGTCCTACTGTTGATTTCAAAAATGGTTATTTCATGACTATAATAAACTGTTTGGATATGATTTTTGCCTTGTTCACTTTAATTGTGAAATAGTGTTGCTGTCTTCATATTTAATTTTGACATCAGAATGGTTTAAAGTCATCACCTGACGACTCTCCTGCTTTAATATTTTCTTGAAAAATGATGATTCCCGCCGTTTTGTCTACTAAAAATTTAAATTGTATATTCGGAACATTTTTCAGAAAGTGTTTTCAATAAAAAATGGTTCTAGTCACTATATTGATATACGTGTAGTAGGTTACTGATGTAAATATGATTTTAGTGGGCATCACCAAGGGGGGAGGGTACTCCTATAATTGAAGTATATAGGTACATGTGCTGCTGTTTCAGCTCTCATTTTCACGGTTGTCTTTTTGACACCATTTTTGAGATTGTCGGCCATTTTAGCAAAGTATAGGCCATTTTTGGTGAAAAATGCAAATTTGTGAACTGGAAATGCTCCTCATCGTTGATATTCTAGGTCCAGGTTTCAACTGACTGTGGGGTACTGCCAGCCAAAATCCAGTTGAGTACCCTTGGAGGGCATTAATGCTTATCTTTTCACTTTTTAACATAGTTTATGTCATTGCTAGCCAAATACTAACACTAGGTATTGTCTAAACGAGGCAAACAGGGTTTGTGAGTTGCTAATGCTAAGTCAATCTGTCCTTTTGTTGCATTGATCATAAATTTAGAATTGCTGGAAGATTTGTTGAAAAAATTCAGAAAAGAAAGATGTTCAAATAAGCTACCATAAAAAATAAATATGCACTTGTCCCACTCTTCAAGTCAAGCATGTTATTCGTTGTGTGCTGTTATCTGTAAGTCAGGGGTGTACTCTTCTCTTGTGGCCACTAACAGTTGATCAACCAAGGCTCTTGCTTCATGATTTTAAAGATGCTGTATTGTTTGAGATGTTCAATTAAGCGAAATTCGAGTTATGGGCATTATAGATTTTTGGTTTTGTTTGATTTTTACATGATCTCAAGAGTTCTAACGGTTCACTCTTTAGTAAACGTTTAGAAGACGCCCTCTATGGCGGGGAATATCAAAATTGCTCTCCGTAGCATATTAAACATCAGTTTGGGTACCATGAGGCTGTCTGCATATATGTATGCGATATAACGGTATATAGAGTGGAAAAAGCAAAAGTATTAATGGATCTTAATTTCAAGTTCCCAAAAGGTCTACAAATATGAATATTGAAGACGAAATTCTAACTCCGATTTGACATTCAACTTGTAAATTTCTACAATTCTTGCACATACACGTATTATGTATTGAATATAAAATTGCATTGAGTGAGTGTCTGACTATATAATTATATGGAATTTGCCGCTGTATATGAATGAGTCCATTCACAGACACGGAGGATTTTACTGGTGCTACATGTGTATACTAGTAGCTAGTTCTAGTTTTCACCCCGAGGGTTTTCACTTTGGCGGCAAGCATATGATTTATCGAAAATGTTAAGAACCTACAAACTATTGTACATTCAGTCACGCCTACACCCCACATTCATGAAATGAAGTTTCATATGCACCTAAATTAATTAATAATTAATCGATTATTTTAATCATGGTTTAATTAGTTATAATTTACAAATTGCAAGAGTGTAAATAGCCTTAATGGCATGTATGGAAATTGTGCCTATTGCAAACACGACAATAAATAGTGGCATGCATACACACAATATGATCTGACCCGGAGGTGGCTTATAAATGCAAGTTACGTATATTACATATTATATTTATGGACATTTCCCAGTCTTACATTGTTTAAAGCTGATCTACGATTAAAACATAATGGAATATTTGTTTTGCGGCGTAGTATGAACATTTTATTATAGACACCTATCGTATTTTGTTATCTTATATATGCGGATACTATACTATGGAATTATCATCAGATATCACTTGTTTATAGAACTGGTGGAGACGAGTGATACGTCAAAGGCCAGGAAATGGTGGGATAGAAGGTGAGAGGACAATACAGCCCACAACGTCACAAGTTAGTGTCTATTGCATTGTTCGACCACGCATAAAATAAGTTTTAACGTAAGTAGTGTGACGTTCGCCATACAATATCAGCTTTTACAAATCACCACTATTATGTTAACTTCTATTCGCATGTATGAATACTAAAGTTGTTTGGTTTTGATGGTGGTGGTTTATAACAACAACATCAACAACAGTGAATCTCCAACAGCGTCACATTATGGGGATCCATTGTAAACAGTTGTTTAAATAACAGGGCAAGGACGGGGGTGTGCACATTCACAGGTGAAACATATTGTCACGCAATAACCATGGACAGTGCGGAGTACTCTATTTCAATTGTAATACTCCGAATTGTCGAAAAAGTGCCAATCAATGCGAACGCGGTGTTTAAATAATGGTAGCGCACGGTATCATGTGTTGTCTTGTCACGAACCAACTTCGGACAAAATTGACAATGAATGCATAGACAGCCTGTCAGTAACTCCAGTAAACGAGTTTGAATGAATCGGCCCACTGATCCATACACTGACCGAAAGACAGTCGATGACACATTTCACTTATGCATCAATTACCAACAATCGGTCAAACAATCAATCATGCATCTGTACGACATTATGTAACAATATTGAACATAATCGAAGCTACTAAGTAACAATATATACATTGCCCTATAATCCATTATTATTATTTTTTCTTATTTTAAAACATTTATTTATAAAACGGTATTAAATATTTACATATGTACAAAGTATTGTAGACTAATTTCTAAAAGAAAGTCGTTTGACAACTTGACAACTAGCTATAAATTACTAAAATTATAAATCTCTCTGTCAGGCGTGACATCAGATTCGTTAAGGGGAAATTACGT